CTGACAATACTGACTCTGATCTTGAAAATGATCATGATAATGACGTAGACGAATGCATTATCGACAACAGCTCAACAAATTAGTATTACACCTATCACTTCACATAACGGTTATTTACTTCTGAGTACAGGGATTGGAAAAATACATTTAAGTTACGAACATCATATGTTACAGATTAATCAAACAAAAATCTTAGAAACGTACCAGGATTTTATGAAATACGAAAACTAGTTTAATTACGTACCAGATATTGCTTAAGCACTAAAACAACTAAAATATGAAATCAAGGGAATTATTTCCACACAAAGACAAAAACGAGGATTAATTAATATTGTAGGAACTGCTTATAAATACTTATTTGGAACATTAACAGAAGACGATAAAAAAGAGCTAGAAGATATATTAGAAAATTTACAAGATCAAGTAATCGAAAATAAAGATTTTAATGAAATAGTTACAGTAATAAATAAACAATCCGAAGACATAAAAAGACTTGTGAAAGATGAAGGGGAAATGGATGCATTACACATTTTTAGATATTCATTAAACATTTTCCTTGAGTATTTTGAAGATTTACAAATGGGATTACAATTAACAAGAATAGGAATATTCAATCCTAAAATATTGAAACATGAAAAGTTGGATATTATAGACGAAGAAAAACTTTTATCAATCAAAACTTCAGCTTGGATAAGTAGCCAAACTAAAGACACTTTTATTTAAGTTCATATACCAACTTCATTTAAGGAAACCCAAAAATATAGAATTATAAAATACCCAGATAATATAGGCCAACAAATTGACATAAATGATAACTTTGAATATTTTGTAACTTATAAAAACACTGTTTTTTATTTAGAAAATACACCAAGTTTAGACCAAAAATTTATAATCACTGATCAAAATATCTCTCAAATTCTTACTAATCAACTAGCGAATTGTCAACACACGTTTGTATCAGAAAATGAATCTATAAAAAATATTAAACCTAACATCATTATAACTTATAATTTATGCAAAACACAAATTAAACAAGATTGTAAAAAAAATCAACAAAACGATACAGGGAAATAACATAATACAATGAAGTCAATGCACTTTAGAAATAAGAAACATAAAATTTACTACTTCATAGATTATAAACGAATATAAAATTATATTAACTAGCACGAATGTAACATTAGATGAACCAATTCCATTGTTAACAAGAAAGAAAGCAAACTTCGGCAAGCCGAAGTTCATATACCCTTGCAGCTATCGCAAGAATTAAATATTTTTGAAAACATTAAAATTATGATTTACTTGCGTATATGTTTAAAAACATTGAAGCTATGACGATTTGCAGCATAATTATTTGATTGTTCTTTTATATATTTTTATTATTTGTATGGGAGCTATATGATATAGTCGTCTGATTTTGATGAAATTTAAACCATAATTCTGAAATATTTAACCATTGCTATATGTCGAAGAACTAAAAAAAAAATTAAAAAACAGCAAAGTTATAATTTTTTTCAATTATTTTTCCGATTGTTCCTATGGGAGCTATATGCTATAGTCGTCCGATTTTGATGAAATTTAAACCATAGTTCTGAATTATTTAACCATTGCTATATGTCGAAGAACTAAACAAAAAATTAAAAAACAGCAAAGTTATATTTTTTTTTCAATTATTTTTCCGATTGTTCCTATGGGAGCTATATGCTATAGTCGTCCGATTTTGATGAAATTTTAACCATAATTCTGAAATATTCAACCATTGCTTTATGTCGAAGAACAAAACAAAAAATTAAAAAACAGCAAAGTTATAATTTTTTTTCAATTATTTTTCCGATTGTTCCTCTGGGAGCTATATGCTATAGTCGTCCGATTTTGATGAAATTTAAACCATAGTTCTGAATTATTTAACCATTGCTATATGTCGAAGAACTAAACAAAAAATTAAAAAACAGCAAAGTTATAATTTTTTTTTAATCATTTTTCCGATAGTTCCTATGGGAGCTATATGCTATAGTCGTCCGATCCGGCTCGCTCCGACTTATATACTACCTGCAATAGAAAGACAACTTTTGGGAAAGTTTCATGCAGATAGCTTTCAAACTGAGAGACTAGTTTGCATATAAACGGACGGACAGACGGACAGACGGACGGACAGACGGACATGGCTAGATCGACTCTACTAGTGATGCTGATCAAGAATATATATACTTTATAGGGTCGGAAACGTCTCCTTCACTGTGTTGCAAACTTCTGACTGAAATTATAATACCCTCTGCAAGGGTATAAAAATTAAGAAATCAATTAGTTATCAAGAAAAGCAAGAAACAGTTTACAAGTGGATTGTATTCACAACTTTAATACTTATAGTTTTAACCATCACTACTTACATCATATTTACCTACAGGCGCCTAGCCAACAAAAAAGAAATTTTTGTTAGATTCAACAAGGATGTTGAATGGGGGCGAGTGACGTATTACCAAATACTCCAGACATCAAGCCTATCACCCAGCCTGTAAGTCCCGAGATACCCATTACTTAATTTGTCAAACATAACACCCAGCCTGTATATCCCGAGATACCCATTACTTCATTTGTCAAACATAACATTTCAGAGCCTACTATAGGAGTTATTCAAATTAATCAGACATAAACATTTCCCGTTAGACATAAACATTTCCCACGCCTGTTATCAACAGACCCCTTGTTATAAACATTTCATACGCCTTTACCGATGACAGTAGGCATAAGCAAGTGGTAAACTTTTAAGCAAAGGGTCCAGCATGAGAACCCATTCATAAGCATAAAAGCTTTGACCAATCCAAATTTAATAAACAAAATGACAACCCACCCATACGGCCACCATTTCAACCAATCGAAATCTTCTGATCGAAGTCCACTTTCGCTGCTAGCGTCGCTGTCACCGATAAAAGCCATAGTTATAAGAATAATGCAATTGTAAGGACAGTTCAATTTTGGGAATTAACTATAAAGACATTACCAATAAAATCCCACTGTATATTTAAATAAAAATCGCCTTTTTTAATATATCGCAAAGTGAAAAATCTAATTTGCAACAGTAATCTACTAAAGTAAGAAGGTAACCTTACGCTAGTTGAAAGCACGAAGACGAAAAGAAGAAATTTTGTTTGTACCGACTCAATACGATCAATGTGTACTTGATATTGGGGACAACAAACGGGAGCGCAATTTTCTTAATTAGGACGAACAAGGTAGTATATAATAGCTTAGTTGTATAAGTTGTATAATAAGTCCAAGAACACTCGTAGTCTTGTTAACAGTAGACTTTATGTGGCAGTCGAATTTTAATTTTCCGTCAAGAAGAACTCCTAAATCGTTGACCGAATATATTCGGTCCAGTGGTATATTATGAAGAAAATAGCTTATAAATGACGCGTACCCCTATAAAATGTCATTACGTTAAATTTTAAGGCAATTCAGATTTAAGAGGTTAGATTTAAAGCAAACAATATCAGACTGTTAACCGAAACCAGATTGCAAATTATTATAGGACAAAAAAGTTTAACACAATCGGCATACATTAATACTCGAGAATGCGATATGACAGCAGAAAGATCATAGATGAATAAAGTAAACAGCAATGGTCCCAAATGACTACCCTGGGGCACTAAAGATGTTGTATCACAGCAGTCTGTATTTCATTATTGAATGCTATAACTATAATAGATTTCAATTCAAGTAGGCTTGCCGGTAATAGCTGCAGTAGAGAGACAAAACGAAAGATCTGTAGCCGGGGGGTTTCTAGTGTTGTCCATGCAGTTCGACAGATGCGCCACCTAAACTTCGATTGTTTTGTAGAAGGAATACTTAGTTTGAAGTTTTTTGGCTGAGTATCGGGTATCTCCATTGTTTTATTTTAAAATGATATCATAGCTGGTTAATAAGTTACTATTAACTTTATTGGTAACAAAGCTTCTATTAAGTAAATACTTTGTTAAATTCGCTTCGGTTATAAGTAATGCTATATTGGAAAGATCGAAGGATTCGGTTGACTACAAAAAACACACAATCTCGTTGGTAGTAGAAAAATCAATTATTTCTATATCTGCTATCAAATCAAAGTTGTGACATTATCTGAGTAGATTTCTCGCTGCGTTCCTCTCCAATCGGCAAAATTGAGAACAATCACCACACATAAAGATGTATCCAAAGAGTGTGCGAGTGTGCAACGTTGGCAGGATCTGCGAATGCTTTTGTACGGTTCCGTGGTGATGCCATCCGACTACTAAGCGCGTTATGTGGTCTCCGTATGCCAGGACGATTAGTTTTTGGCTTTTAAGATTATCCGCGCGACCCTCGAACTCGCAATAGCTTTTGGTCATCTAGAAAGAAGTTCAAACATATCCATCGATTTGTGATGAATTTATCTACCCCGATCCTAACTTTGGATCTTCGAGTTAAACTTATAATAATAATAATAACAAGTTGAGGGAAACGATTTGAAACCGTATAAGGCATATACATTCTTGGTAGTGATCATAAGCAGAGTTAATCTAGCCATGTTCATCTGTCTGTTCGTCTGCTTCAACGTCGAGATCTTTTAAACTATAAAAGGCAGAAGCTTGGAATTTAACTAACAGATTCAAGTTATACCTATGCAGTGCAAGTTTATTTTAAAATGTGTCCACGCCCACTCTAACGACAACAAATCCCAAAACTATGTTATGCCGCTCTGGGACATGGTAGAGGATAGTTATTGGGTAACATATGTATTTTATAGTATATGTTTAGCGAGACACCAAACATTTTCTAGTTTAAGCATCTAAGTTTGAAAAACTTGTGACGAGGGTGGGGTAGTGCACGCTGTTAGCTTGTAATTTTGGCTCTTCAGCTTGGCAGATGGCAACGATTGATAAAATATTTCAACGGAAAATTTAGGAGTTTGCTTCTTCTTATCAAAATCATTAACCAATATTATTTTTCTTGCCTAGTAAAACAGTTTTATTTTTTTGTTTGTATAGGATGAACTGACTAAAGAACAAACTGCTTGTAAGTAACTGAAATAAATTAAGCAATTGTTTAAGTTTGAAGAATTATTTTTCTTATAGTACTACGCAATGCATTTAATGCTTTTGATCCAGAAAAAATGGTTACATCAATACGGGCATGTTTGGTACTATTCTAAGTATGCTGGGTCACAAACTTGACGATGCTACTCTTGCTGACATTATTGCTGAAGTCGATGAGGATAAATCAGGTGAAATTGTATTTGAAGAATTCGCTACACTGGCCGCCCGATTTCTTATGGAAGAGGACGTCGAAGCTATGATGGATGAACTGAAAGAAGCTTTTCGCCTTTACGATAAAGAAGGAAATGGCTATATCACTACAGGAGTTCTAAGGAAATTCTAAGAGAACTAGATGATAAATTAACTAATGACGATCTAGATATGATGATTGAGGAAATCGATTCAGATGGATCAGGAACAGTTGACTTTGATGGTATACAATTTCAAACATTTTGGTTTGTTTAAAATTTCTTAAGAATACTTTTTAAATTATAGAATTCATGGAAGTAATGACTGGTGGCGATGACTATAAAACTTGTCCACGGAATACCTTCTCAAAATTATTCTTGAAAATGGAACAGCAACTTTTATCGAACACTGAACAATATTATGGTTAAAGCTGTTATAAAATAAGTGAACGCGCAGTAATTTTTACATTTAAATCAATTTATTCATCCTAAAAAACGTCCCTGTTATAATTTTTTTATTAAATGAAACCAACTTATTAAATTTGTTTTTTTTTTCTTTTAATTTTACATTCATTTATTTATTTGTCGAATCTTCAACCTTAGGCAGTCTTAAAATTTTTAATCTATAAATTTAACTTAAGCCCATTTACAGGGTCATTTGCTTTTAAGTTAACCGTCTGGTAAGTCATTTCTTCTTGGGCGGGCTTGGGTTCTGGTTTCGATGTACCAGTGCGTTGCTGTTTTAGTTCTAAGCACTTTTTACTGTGCTTTTTATTATTGTTAAACGTTGATGCACTCTAAACATTACAAACAAGTGGAGATTGAAATGCAAATTTGATTATATAGATAATTATAATTATTACAAGGAATAGGAAAGGGTTCATGCAGGCCAAAATTTTAGCTACATCTTGGCAAGTTAAGAGTATGGTAGTTGCGGGTTAGTCTAAAAGGCACATTAAAAGTTAAGCGGCTTACCAATTCTTTGGAGTCAATATAACTTTTGACAAGATCGTGTATAAGTTAGTTCCAAGCATGATTCTACGATTTAAAAGAATAGGTAAATTATGCAATAGTAATCTACTAAAGTATGAAGGCAACCTTACGTTATGATCTTAGTTCAAAGCACGAAGGCGAAAAGAAGAAATTTTGTTTGTATCGACTCAATACGATCAATGTGTACTTGATATTGGGGACAACAAACGGGAGCGCAATTTATATCACAGCAGTCTGTATTTTATTATTGAATCCTATAGCTATAATAGATTTCAATTCAAGTAGGCTTGCCGGTAATAACTGCAGTAGAGAGACAAAACGAAAGATCTGTAGCCGGGGGGTTTGGGCCCTGCGCGAGTTATAGTATGAAATAGTTAACGGTGATTCTTACTCATCCAATATTCAGTTAACGTTTATATATAGACAGTTGATGTGTTCGCTTTGGTTGTTCCAAACGGAATAATTTTTATTGTGGCTTGAGATTCAAATCAAACCTCCGTCAAAGAATTTTATGTGTTTACAATTATGTATGTGTGGGTGAGTAAATGCTAACAAAGTATTTTCTGGAGCTCTGCTGAGTGCGTGTCGTTTAGCAACATCCTGCCTTGTGCTGATGTTGCATTTCTTATGTGCATCTTATGTGGGACAACGAACGGCTAGCTGTCGGTCACTGTCCACTTGGAAGAGGGTAATACGGGGAGGTTTAGGCGGTGGCATAGTCGATGGTACCGGTACGGTAACTCCTCCCCCCCTAGAATGGAGCGATGGCCACATCTGTGGTATATCCAGAGCGACATTGTGCAGAAAGGCATTGGGGGTGAAGATTGTTTTTGTTTTTCTAATTCTCCATATTGCCAGTACCGTTATCGCTAGGAGCACCAGCATACCATATATTACGGAAAAATGTGTTTCCTGTACTTTTCCCATGTACACTACTTTTTTGAGTTTTCTCATATCTTCAAGATGTAAAACTTCTAGGTTTAACTCCTGTTTAGTGTTATTTATAAGTATCTGCTTACTTATTGTAGTGGTAAGTACTATATGGTCCTCTTTATGTTCCATAACTTGGCCATCATACTTTATGCCATTTATTTCGATCGAACAGTTTGCATATTTGATTGCTAACGCCCCTGATATTGTAATATCTTCTCCACACGTGTTGTTTACAGGTAAGTTCAAAGCATTGAAAATGAATATGTGTCCATCCTCAGGTGCCAAAACCATTTCTCTTCCCTCTAGATTTACTGAATCGCATATTGGTGGTTTGTTCGTTAAAATCTTCCTCAAGCACTGCTTTCCTTTTGTCTCAACACCCAACTCTTCGCTCTCACAAATAAAAGTTTCATGAACTTTTGAACATTGGTTGTTAAAGAAACTTATTTTATACTTATTAATTGCTACATAATTTGGTATTATTAATAAATGAGTTCCATTAATTGGAATTGGTATAACATGATATAGCTGATAAACATTTGGCTCAAAAATTGGAGCTCTTACCCTAAATATTATGTCTGTCTCATTTATTTGTGTCTGTATATTTATTAGTTCGTAAACTTGTTCATTTGAAACAATTTTGAGCCCTTGACTCTCTACAAACTGTATAATCCTCTCTAATTCTGTCTCTGCTTAAATGAATTTAGGCACAATGCGAAGTTTCGCTAACAATATGCTTTCCGCAATATTGTTTAAGTGTACTGTTAACAAATCAATACTGTAACTAATCCTATTCAAATGCTGGACCATATGTATTTCATTGTGCTCTTGTGTTAGTTCCCTAAATACGTTATTCTTATAATTCTTTATAAACAAATTTATATCTTCCTGCTCCTTATTTATATGCTTAGTAATTTTCGTAAACCTACTCAAGGTTTCCTGATAAAAGGTTCTTTGCTCGTCTGCTTCTATTGTAAGAAACCTTGTTTCATTTCTCAATTCTTTTATTCTATTTCCTATTTTCTCCTCATCATATGCGTCCATATTTCCCGAAACTATTTTTATCATGCTCCCTACATTAAAAATTCCTCTTTTGACCCTATTTCTTAGTTTAAGTACTTCTAGCTTCTCCTTCACCTGATACAATTTTTCCTTAACCACCTGGACTGCCTCACCTGAGAATCTAACCTTCTCCATGTCTAACAACGCGTTCTCAATCTGTGCAATATTACCTTCATAGTCCTTAAAGTTTATTATATGGTCAAACATCTTCGCTCCGACCATTACTCTTGCCTTTCCCAGTTCCATTTTTACGATCGCCTCTTCTCGTTTTAGTGCTTTCACCTCCATTGTCTGTCCATGGACTAATATGCACCTGTAACCGTGATTGATTAGTTTTTATTTTGTTTAATTCTTTTTTTAATTTTTGATTTACGTATCTTCTGTTTCTTTTTGTAACGAATGTAACCCCATTATCCTCATCTACTGTGTGTTCCGTAAACCTAGGTGTTAACTTATTTCTTCTATTCTCCTTCCTATAAACTACATCCTCTTTTTCTAACTCCATGGGTTCTTCTCTTCCTTCATTGAGTTTTCGCGTCCTTTCCTGTTTTTGTCTTTCCAACCTGTTCTTAACTTCCTTATAAATTTCCTCCTGATATGCATTTAACTTCCTTAAGTACTCGTGCTCTGTATCGAAATTAATTTCCCGTTCAAAAACGTGTGTTCTCCCCGAGAACAATTCGAACGGCTTCAATTTCGTACTGGAGTGTATTGAGTTATTATAAGTTAGGAAAACTTCATCTAAAACTCATTTTCTAGTTTTAAGGCCTTCCTTGTTTTCATAATTATCCTATAAATTTCTGTCAGTGTTGAATGAAGCCTTTCAACCGGTGAATTGCTGGACGATTGTTGAAATGACGTCACATGCAATTCAATTCCGTACTGCCTACAGAAATCCTTGAATAGTGCCGAGGCATACTCTGCGCCTTGGTCACATATGATCTTTTTAGGAACGCCGTACTGACCTATGAACTTCTTTATTGATTTAACAATATTTAAACTGTCCCTTGCCGGTATAGTGTATCCCACGGCAAACCTTGAAAACTTGTCTATTATTGTTATTACATAGTTTTTGTTGATTGTATATAAGTCCGTATGAATGATATCAAGTGGCTTGCACGGGGTTTCCGTATTTTGAAATACCACCTTTTGCGGTTGCCGATCATATTTCAATGTCTGGCAAGTTTCACACGCATTAATGACCTGTGTTACTCGGTTTTTCATAAATGGAAAATAAATGTCCCGTCTCATCTTCCAAAACGTTTCATCTATTCCCCTATGATTACCTGAGGTGTGATACCTTTCTATTTCTTCTCTTTGTTCACTAATATCTGTTATTTCCCGCATGAAGGTAAGACATCGTACTGCTTTATACAGTTTGCTCCTGCAAAAATAACTCTGAAACGCTTCTTCTACCTTTTTAAAAACTTCATCTGACGTGTATATCGCACACAACCTGTATGGTTTAAGCACCTCCCCAAAAATTTTTAGCAATTTCCTCTTTTGTGAACTCCTTTTCTGTTATCGCCCTTCTTGTCTTGTTCTTAAAAGGTGTCACCACTGTTCTGCTTGGTGTCGACCCAACCTCAAATATTAACTGGATATTAAAGTCATTCAGTGGCTTTTCTGCCACATGAATGCAACTTAATTCCAGTTCACTTGTATGGGCCGCACGAGTAGCCTGAGTTGACTCTAATTCACTGTTGTGAACTTGTAGTTCAATTCTGCTCAAGGCGTCTGCCACGACGTTTTGTGACCCCTTTTTGCAGGTCACCTCGTAGTCATATTCCAACAGTTGCAGCTTCCACCTCACCAACTTGGAATTTGGTTCTTTAAATCCCATGAGCCAAGTTAGTGGGCGATGATCTGTGACTATTGTGAATTTGTGACCAAACAAGTACGGTCTGAAGTGTTTTATGCCCCAAACTATGGCAAGCATTTCCTTTTCTACTGTGGAATAATTTACTTCAGCCTCATTTAACGTTCTGCTTGCAAATGCGATTGGTCGATCACTTCCCATTGCTCCTTGTGATAACACTGCACCAATAGCAAAATTGCTAGCATCTGTGGTCAAAATGAAGGGTTTTGTAAAATCTGGATATCTCAACAATCATTGCATAACAACGTCTTGCAATATTCAAAAGTTTTTGTATACTCCTCATCTATGATTATCTGTTGTTTTCCTTTTAGTCTCTTAGTTAATGGTTTCGTTATTTTTGCAAAATCTTTTATGAATTTCCTGTAATAGCCAATAAGTCCAAGAAATGACTTTATTTCCTTTGGTGTTTTGGGCAAAGGAAAAAGCTTTATGGCTTCAATCTTCTTTGGGTTTGGTCTGACTCCTTCTTGTGTCACTACATGCCCTAAATACTCTATCTCCTTCTTCAAAAATTCTGATTTGTCTGTTTGAAGTTTAAAATTTGCTCCACTTATCCTTTTAAAAACTGTCCTCAAATCTTGCATGTGACTTTGTAGGGACGGGGAATACACAATTATGTCATTCATGTAG